TATAGCGTCGGAGATAGTTGACCTAACGGTTAAAAACCCCAATGGAATAGTTCCGTAACAGGACTAGCATCTCCCAACAGTTAAACTGGTTTAGAATCATTTGCATGCAAAAAAGGGTCTGTTCATCTCATATATCTCGTGAGAAAGGGGAGGGGTACGGTGGGTTCCCCGTGACAGAACTTCACACACACACACACACACACACACACACACACACACACACACTGTAATGTCCAGAAAATGTTTGTGTTTTGTGTAGTCTCACGGGCCTTCTATATATGATTCTTACATACTTCTGTAGCCGTCTGTGTTTGTAACACAATTATTTTAAGGTATCTCAGTCAATTATTGGACGTCCACTTGGGCTATCTTCACTATTTTCTCCCAATTAAAGTCTAAAACAAACTACCATTTTATCTTGGGGGACCCTTACTATTAAATAAATTAATGGATTTCATATATAGGTAATGTATTCTTATTTGAAATATATATATATATACAGGGAGGATCCAATGAGTCCACTCCATAAAATGAGTCAACTCTTTAAAATATATATTAATTAAATAATAAAATAATTATTAGTTGACTTCCGGCGTTGACCGTTGACTTCCGGCGTTGACTTGTTGCCCTTGATTTGCAATATGTATGAAGTAAATATGCATCCAGTACCATGTATTCACTATGAACTAAATATGCATGGGATATGAATTACACATGCAGTCCTTATGAAGTGAATATGCACCAGTAATATCTACTAAGTATGCACCTGTTATTAAGTAAATATGCATCTGTTATGAACTAAATATGCATCATGAATGAACTAAATATGCAATAAAAATATACATTTTATATAGGTAATTTATGATGCATATTTAGTTAATTTATTGTGAATATTTAGGTAATTTATGATGCATATTTAGTTAATACGAAATGTATACTTGTTATATTTAAAATTAATATATAATGATGTTTATATAGTTATGATGCATATTTAGTTAATCCATGATACATATTTAGTTCTTACGAAATGCATATATATTTAGTTCATGAACAGTGCATACCTATTTTATTTGAGATCCAATCATAACAATTTATTTGTGTTATTAATCAATGTAAAATTAGAATTAATTATATAATAAAATTCATTAATTATCATATTTAATTTAATTGTATAAAATGTATATATTATTGCATATTTTCGTTGCATATTTAGTTCATTCATGATGCATATTTAGGTAGTAAAATGTGCATATTTAGTACATAAATAGTGCATACATAGTTGATATTATTGGTGCATATTTAGTTCATAAGGATAACATATATAATTCATTTCTTATGCATATTTAGTTCATACTAAGTGCATAATACTCTATGCATATTTACTTCATACACAATGCAACAGTCAATGTTGGAAGTCAACGCTGGAAGTCAACGGTCAACGCCGGAGTCAACGGTCAACGCCGGAGTCAATGGTCAATTGTCAAAATAATATTTAAATAATTAAAATAATAAAAATAAAGAATTAAGTAATAAAAATAAAGAATTATTATTTAAGTGAAGAGTTAAATCTTGGCCACACATAATGTACCAATCTAGTGGCTAGGAATGAGTCTCACATTCACACTTTAAATATGTTGACTCATTGGATCCAACATTGAATTTTAAAAGTTAATAACTTTGGTATTTTTTACCAGTTTTACATATATAATATATCAAATTAACCATCTCTTGATGAGCTTCGATTTAACATCCATATTGTATATATATAAAAAATAAATTATATTTATATTTATAATAATAAAATTATTTTTTATTATTAATTAGAAAATTAAAATTTTTCATCAATCAATATATTCATATTTCAAATAGTTATGTGATATAACTACATTGTAAGTCGCACAAGTAACAATATATATTCTAAAAAAGTAAATAAAAATTTAAAATATATATTGTAAAAAAGTAAATTTAAGAATAATTTTTTAACAAGCACCCGTGGAATACACGGGTGTTGTACTAGTAAGAATTGATATTAAAATGCAATTAATACATTTAATATGACCATAAATAATCAACATATTTATGGATATCCAAACCTAATTACTTTGGATTGAAGTAATTAAAATCTACCCAAGCCTAATAACGAAATATGTAATTTTGCCACATAGGATCTCGAAGCATACGAGTCTGCCCTTAGGCTCAGCATGTTTTGAATTAATATATATGGGGGATGGGGGATTTATCAACGATCACTATGTTACGAAAGGGTGATTAAATCTGCCATTTTTTTATACAAAGAAGGCGGCCACATTCCTAAGCTAGTACTCGTCGGGGATACGACACCCTGATATTATCATTGCTCAATCCATGCACCCAAACTCATGGGCGGGGAGGCAATGTGGTGCCATTAACATTATTGTAACGTGGAAGTTGGAATTATCGTAATTGGAGAAAAGGGGTTTTTTTTTTTTTTAATTACCACGTGGTCCACAACACACGGTTCATTTTGCCCGGCCTCCAACATCTTGGCGTAGGTTCTTTGAACTTTCGCGGTCGCGCCAAAGAATCAAAAGTTCAAATAACTGAAACAAATTTGAAGGCTAAACAAAAGGTTCGAGTTCTCACTTTTCTCTTCCCCGAATTACTCCCTTTATTGTTCTTAAATGCCCAAGTTCTATTTTGAAAAGTGGAAGTAAGTTGGGTGGCACATCAGGTGTTTGATGAAATGCCCCTGAGAAGTGCCGTGCTGCATGGCGTATTCTTTTCCAAAATTAAAACTTTCTTATTTTTTCATTTTCAAGAGCATGTATTCATAGTCTAGTTATCGTACCAGGGATAAATAGCAGCTCGGTGACTTTCATTCATGGCTGCTACTCGACCTCGGGCTGGCAGTTTCTCACGCAACCTTTCTGCTTCTAGTACGGTGTCACAGATTCCCGGGCTTAAGCATGGCCCGAATGGGACCATGTTCCTCTCATCCGGCATCCCGGATTTCGACAGTAACGTCACTTGCACTTATTATAAACCAAATTGCTTTATATGTTATTATTCATTACTTAATAAACTATTCATATTTGTTCTTTTATGTGGCAATAGAAATTTTGGGTGGTGGGTTTGCTTTGGGGAGTCTTGTGATGGTTATGGAAGACCCTGAGGCGCCACATCATATGTTGTTGTTGAGAAATTTTATGTCTCAAGGACTGATTCACCATCAACCGCTTGTATACGGGAGCCCAGCTAATGATCCGAGAGGGTTTCTTGGTACCTTGCCTAATCCGATGGCTTCGAAGGATGATAAGTCTCATGTGCATGAAACGGAGCAGGTGGGGTTTGATTATGTGTTTGATTTAGGAGGTGCCCACAAATTGAAACAGAATCTGAATATGTTTTGAATTGCAGGATAAAGGGTTGAGAATTGCTTGGCAATACAAGAAATATTTCGGGGAACATAATTCGGAGTCTCAGAGAGGTAAAAGCTACGAACTCTGTATTCCCTCTCTGCTGCATGTGCTCTTTTTGACACTCGTTAATGTTGACGATGTCGTGATTGGTATTCTCGTTTTTCGATTGCAGTTTTTATAAACTGAGTTGCAGTATGTATGTGCCTAATGTTCCTTTGTAATTATTGATGATTTGATATAGCTGGAAGCTAATATGCTTTTAAAAGCAGAATTAGACACAACACATAAGCTTTCTTTCATAAGAATTTGTGGGTGTTGGATTTTATCATTACTTAGAGATACCTGCGGATGACTTTTTTGTGCGCTAGTTGGTCCTACCTTGATACATTTCTTTGCTTAAATTGTTTTATCTTCCCCAGGAGTGATTTTTAAAGTTTTCAGTCTTAATGCTATCATTTATTTTATATGCAGATGGAAAGTCAGAATATTGTAGTGACTTTGATTTGCGGAAGCCCTTGGAGAGGCACTTCTTTAGTGGACAAAATATTGATTGCGTGAGCCTTAGAAATTGTTCAGATTTAGCAACATTTCAAGAACGTTGTTCGAGCTTTTTACCTCAAGTTCCTCGGTAGTGTGCTTTTTACATGACTGTACCAAACACACGAAAGTTCTTTTATAAGTTAGTTAACCACAATTTATGATATCAGTGAATGACCCATTGTGGTGTGTAGCCATTTTGAATAAGAAGATAACATTCCCGGATAATTTATGTTGGTTGGATTATGAACATGGCTGTCATTTGTTTGTACTAAATATTGAATCGGTACATCTGGCGGTAATTTTAGTAGTCTCATTGAGATCACATTTATATTTATTCATGCTTTTTTGTTTCCTCAGGAACACTGGGAACATAACAGGTATTCGAATTGCTATTCAGTCACTGTGTTCTCCGCAGTGCGAATATTCAAACAAGGTAACTAGTTGTCTTTGGTGTCTTGAGTTTATAATTTGAGGTTCATTCGACTTTCTAATGTTGTACTAGTGTTTTGGAAACACCAATATATGTTTTTTTT